AGGTATAACGTTAGATGCTAAATTGCAATGGGGTCCCCGTATAAGTAAGTTATCAAAACGGCTCGGCTCTGCAGTGTACGCGATTAAAAAAATAAGGAAACTTTCAGACGTCGAAACCTCTAGATTGGTTTACTTCAACTACTTTCACAGTCTCATGACATACGGCATTTTGCTTTGGGATAATGCCACCGATATCAATAGAATCTTTGTCCTGCAGAAACGTGCAGTTAGGGCAATTTACAATCTGGGCCCCAAAGTATCTTTGAGAGATAAGTTTAAGGAAATTAACATTCTTACACTAGGCTCACAGTACATTTATGAAACTGTAATTTATGTTAAAAGGAATAGTAATTTATTTATGAAAAATAGTGACAGACATAACATTAATACGAGGAATAGAAATAAACTAGCTTTTCTTGATAGTCGTCTTCACAAAGTCAAAAATCATTTAAGGGGCAATGTATACGCTTCTATAACAAGATTCCGGTTGATATACAAAATTTTCCTTTCACGAGGTTTAAAACTATAGTGAAACAAAAATTTTATACTAAAGGTTATTATACAACTTCGCGTACTTGGATGACAAAAATCCGTGGTAGTAACCCGTTTAGCTCATGGAGGTTGTCTCGATCTCTGATGTTTCAAATAAAAAAAAATATTGTAAATGTTATTTACAAAGAGCAACCCCTAGAGTTTCTTGCTCATTCTTCTCAGGGAAATCTGCCTTACGAATGAGCGGTAGAGTTGACCATTGTGACGATTTCAAATGTAATAATGCTTACCTATGAAATAAAGATTATTTTGAATTCGAATGTGAATTTGAATTCAGTAAAAATGTAAATATGAATTAATATCACTCATATCATAAATTCAATTGATGATGATGATGAAAAGGAGAATCAACTTCTGTTAGGATACAAGATGATAAAATTTATTTGTAAGTCAATGATAAAACTATAAAATATTTCTAAGTTAAGTGACATTGTTTTTAATATATCTAGACAAACCGAAATGTACTGTTTTAATTTAGAGTCAGCCGTGTCTATGGGACCTGTAAAGGACGCAAAATAAAGGTTTTTTTTTTAAAAAAACAAATATATGTGATTTAGATAACAAAAATAGCTTCATTTACTATGTATAACAAAAACCTAAGAGACGCATTAAGAATTTCCGTTCCTGTTTATGAATTCCGTAAAATCACACCCGTGTTTCATATTAATGCAGACCAAAGAGAACTAAATGGTTTTGTTTGTTATTTGAGTAAATGAATTTCGGAAATACCTATTTCAAAGTCAATTGAACTTATTATCTCATGTGGTAGGCATTTAGTTGAGGAAGTTCTTAATTTAAAATTTGTACACATAACGCATTGACCTACCAACAAAACATAACGTGTAAAATTCTTGTCCAAAGTAAACAACATAATTTTTATTGCTCCGTAAATATTAAAACCAGATGTCTGTGAAATATTATTTTCACCTGAAGTATATTACTGGCGATGAATGTGAGTGTGCGTACACACCGCCACGTGTGTGTGTCGTTTTGAAGTACAAGATATTAATGTTTATTTAATTTGTGAAGGTGATGATTATACCTGATGATAGCACTACATAGCGCAATAACCGGTCACCTCTAGACTGCAATTACTACAAACACTCTATAATAACACAAGACACCTGACCCACCAATATGGCCAAACCGCCGTTTTGCTTCTGAGAGCCATCTTACCATATTAAACAGAAAAATATAAAGGAATTTCAACTTTATTCTATAGGCAATAAATATAATTGATCGAATGGCTTTGTGTATGTACGGCAAATTACTAATATCCGTGGTTGAAAGCAAGAGCTCTCTTTTGTTTTAATATGAATTTTTTAACGGGATTGTTTCACATTAAAATGTTAACGTTGACAAATCACAATTTAGAGTTTTTATTTGTAGGTAATTTTAAGTTGTTTACAAATTATAATTTAGAAATATAAAATAAAATATTTGATGACTTACCCACGATGTCAACTATTATTTCATTCACCTAATGTTTATGGGTGGTGGTTCACATCGAAAATCCAACATTCTAAAAACACTCCTTACACCTATCCAGAGGTAAAAAAAATAATTATTTATAATGTTACGTAGCCATAACTTAATAATATTTTATTTTTATGTGACTAGAACCACGCACGCCTCAACTTACAAAACAATTCACAAGTTGTTTAGTAAATACAATTGGGTTATTGAAGTGGATTGCAATGTGCAATCTAATTACAAATAATTTTTAATTTAATTGTGCACTAAAATGAAGAATATTAAAAAATAACGCTATTAAATAATTATATATAAAAACATCTGAAGAAGTTTCGCCGAGAGTTGAGTACAAAATTAGTACTACTTTATTTAGTACACTCAACTATACTACACTCGAATATAGGCATCAAATAAAAATATAATTTTGGCCATTAATTATCTAAAAATATGCCAAAGTTAATATTAAATACCAAAAACAAAACATGGTTTTTAGTTTCATGGTCGTTCCGTCCTATCACGAACCAAAATGCCAGTGATTTGTTCCAGTTAATAAAAATAGTTGAAATTTAATAAGCGTCTACGTATTTAAAGTAAGCAAAGTCATGCTGTGCGGTGTCGACACTGTCCACTTGACAGAGTATTAATAGGAAAATTTGTTAATAATTACTTTGGGAAGAACTTTGTCCAGATTCTTTGAACTTTGTCAAGACTTTTTACGTGCTTAATCCCGTCCGCTCCTTTCTGTCAACCTGGCGCGGCGGTTAATACTATTCGTCCGCTAGAAGCGTTTTACTGAATGAACGTAGGTTCATTCAACGAAAAGAACTAGTAGTCTCCGTAATACTTACTTTATTACTTACTCTGTAACGATACTGATAAATATAATACTTAATGTTTTCCTATTTTCTTCACCGTATGAATAGCGTGTTCACTAATACATAGGTATACTAGCCACGTATTAAGATGAGTAAGCGACAGTCAAGTGTCTTTGAAAAATAACAACTAGTGTATTAAATTACACTCCTAAGCAGAGATGGGCAAACGCCCGGGTTTTAACCCGGTGCTTTGTTTGCCCATTAACGCCCAGAATCGAGGGCAAAAACTGTTTACAACTAAATATTTGCTGTCATCGAACTTTGTTCAGATTTAATGATATTATTACTAAATGTTTATGGCTTTTAGATCTAGACGACTCGATTTGCCTTTCTATTGAATCCATTCGCTTGAAAGTCGCATTGAAATAATAAATCGATAAAATTTCGTTAATTCGCATGCACTTGCACTTCATTAAAATCGAATCGTATCGTTTGGGCAGAAAAGGGTTAAAACTCAGACGGGTTGTTTGGGTTTTAACTCACTGCCCATCTCTGTTCCTCAGTAAAAACGAATTATTCAAATACATATAGGTATAAACCACATAACCAATTTTGAATTAGCATGAACAATAAATCAAGCAGTGGTGTTATGCGCGTGGCGATGCGCAGTTGAAAAATGCCGTGTCTGGTGGTCGTCTAGCCGAACGGTGACTCACGCGTCGGTATTCGACTGAATAAGGTTGTCGAATAGGGCTGCCGAAATATTTAGATTGATTAATTCACACGATTATCCAGTTACTGATGCTGCTAAGCAAATTGATTGCCACGACAGATATCACGAGAGCGAGAAGTAAGTCTATGACAAAATGTTTTATAAACATGAAAAATTAATATTGGGTTGGAATGAACGAGTACATGGTCCACGACCAAAACGAAATTGATTGGATATTCTTCTAAGTGTTTAGTGTATGTGTTTGTATGTCCGGATTTACCATACAGGATAAATAAATGGGTTCAAAGCAAGTCTTGGAGGACACGTCGACAGTTGGTTAGTCGATTTTGATGTATAGTTTTTCCTATGAATATATTTAACATCCGTGGTTTTTTGGGAGATGAATGTGTAAATTGTAAACTAACAAACAGACAACCCTGCATTTAACGCCTTAGATCGCTACGGAGGAGACGGAACATCGGCATCTGCTTTTTTATCGTTTGGTCTGGAGCATGAAGCACTATTTTTTATTGCATCTAAAATGTTAAAGACAACTAAATGTTCGCAGTTTTTGCTTAATTTTGTATCAAGTTAAATGAGGATACAGTGTAACGCTTACGTGATTTATTAATGTTATTTTGACAGATTAGGTTATAATTTAAGATTGAAATACCGGATAAATATTCGATAAGCGTATGCAAATATACGGTAGCCAAACAGCAACTGGTTTTTGGAAATACTTTATCGTATTCACAAGGCTTTCCCATAACCTTGTTGTATTCAGGTATTGCATATTTTGTAACTCTATTACCTAAAATGAGGTTTGAGTCCATTTTTCATTAGTCATATCAAGGTTGTAAATCTAAGCTACCTATAATCCTACAATACAGTATGTTGTTGTAGGTACTTTAAGTTTTGTATTAAAAGTCGACATTTTTGATAGTTAGATATAAGTACCAAGTACCAAGGTTGAAATTGGACACCTGTATAAAGCACCTGTTAACTTTTTTTTATGAAACCAAATGACGCGGGTTGAACAAGTCCTGGGCCTGGTAAGCGACACGCCAGTCCATAATAGTTGCAATAGCACTCAAAGCATTAAAACGCAAGGATCTGCGGTGCACTGCCATTGCATCGTCACCCTGAGACATAAGTTGAAGTCCCACGTGCCTGTAATTTCACCAGCACCCTTACCTGTCAAAACGGGAACGCAGTAATGCTCATATTACGGCTTGGTTGCAGAAATAGGTAAGGTATGTAAGGCAGTACTTCCCTGGACGAACTCTTTCACAAGGACCTCCACTGCTACTATAGTAGTAGTATCATCACGATTATAGTATCAGTAGCGGTAGCCCTTTGGTATAGATGCGTAGGTTCGAGTCCTGTCAAATCGAAGGAATTTTACTTTATGTTAATAATTATAACAAACAAGTATCAAATGGTTGCAGCCGGGATCTGCTGGACTGGGATGGACCGCGGTGGGCGCTGCAGCTCGGTGGCCGCGTTGCGTGTGAGCCGCACTGACTGCTGCGCAGGTGCCAAGAACTCTCCTGTCGCATGGAGTCCCGCAGACCTCGACAACGGACAAATATTCTTCTACAAGGCGCTTTCTGGAGGCGTACCTTGTAATGCTTGTGCTGGTGAGTAAAAATCGTACCTTTGGTGTAAGAAAGTCAAGTCAAAGTCAGTCAAACATTGGATCAAAAGTGCTTTAAAAAAAGTGCAAAAAATAACATAAAACTACACGAAATAAATTATGTATACCCTATTTAAGTATAAAAAAGTTATCGACAATTTCGTTGGACAACTTTAAACCTCTCTGCTGAAAAGTAGTCATTTTGCAGATGTGGCCTTATTACACAAAAGGTGCGAAATAATTATTTCAATTCTAAGTTACTTATGAGCGCTGAATGCGCAATCCGGAATCTCAAGTGCTCTCTTACCCTTACCTTGGGTGTATAGGATCTGAAGTAACAATTACGCTCTATAAGAAGTTGCCGTGTAAATTTAATTCATCCAAGGAGTTTCGTTTGGTCAATAAAAATCTGCGGCGACATCAAATATCCAATATAAATCAAGAAAAGTAAAAATACAAGTGTTGAATCTGATACGAGTTACTATATCCGGTTACATTCAACGAACTAATCAAGCAGTCAATATAAAATGGGCGCTAATGACTTTATCTACAACTATACTTAGATGTTTGTCAAGTATTTTATTGAGACGTCTAGACTGAGCTGTTAACAGCTCAATTGTATAATATATTGCATCTATTACTGTCAATTGTAACTACAGTAACGATTGGTGAGTTTATTGTGCAGACGGGACATCGCGTTTAGAATGTGCAGATAAACAACTAAATTTAATATTAATAGGCGGTTTTTTCAAGAGAATGTCACCGTAGAGGATTACGAGGAGGATCAAGTGATAGTATGTACAACAAAGAAACATGAACGATGCTACACCGACAATAGCAAGGCTTAAGACAGAACTTGAAAGATAATTTCTTAGCTTACTTAAAACCTACTTAAAACGTAAAAATATTTGCACTTGTAGCCTAATGAGAGAATAGTGGCTTCTAAATTAAGGGGTCAACTTCAATTTCTAAATAACGTACTTACGTTTAATTTGGAAATAAAAAATTAGTCGACTATCATTTTTTTTCATTCGTTTTAATTTTCTACTATAAATATAGGTTTGTCAAGTGGTTTGAGGTTGTTTTTGCGTTCTTGTAAATTAAGAAAATATATACTTTGAAAATGGTTTTTTATTTGTTAAAGTTTGAATTGACCAATCAACTATCACAACTTTTCAATTTTCAGCTGTTTCGGCTATGTTACAAAATGTAAAAAATGCAGTTTGTTTCATTTCGATTTTTCTCAATAAAGGTTGAGTAAGGCTGTTCAGTATATCAATATTAGGTATTAATTTAATTGCTCAACTAAATATAATTCTTATTTATGTAAATACAAAAATAATATCACTTAGCTTTCATTTTATTTTTTTTATAAAAATGGGCGCACCTCCCATCTTACCTGATGGAAAGTGACGATAAGGTAGCACACAGAAAAAGACTTGCCTTATGATAGCACAACTGAAAACTTACATGAACTAAATGAATCTAAATGACATGAAGTAAAAAAAAAAACGAAAAAAAAAAGTTGTCTCTACATAAGTAACTACGTCATATGTTAGATTTAGGGGAAGGGGTAACTTATTAGGCGTTTTAGAGCAGTGCAAAATAAAAAACAAAGTGGTTTTTTTGTGATAACAAAGTGACGGGACTAACTAGACGGGCGCGTCGTGGGACACACCTGTCCATAGGTAGCAGTTACAGTACCACTCAGAACTTTGTATCGTAAAGGTCTGGGGGCACCGCTACTGCACCAGTCACCATCAACATAAGTTGACAAGTCCCAGGTGCCTGTAATTACATCAGTACCCTTACCGTTCAAAATCGAAACGTAGCTCATATTATTGCATGGCGGAAGAAATAGTTAAGGTGGCGCAGCGTACTTCACTGGACGAACTCTTTCACAAGGACAAACTGGAAACTAGCTTACTGTAGAAACCAGGTACATTTACAATGTATTTCTCTAAAAACGTCTCTATAAAGCGTGTACACACAGAGAGCGGGTGTGGGTCGGGCGCGGGTCAGGTCGTGTAGTTATGACAACACACCGAGCGCGGGCGCGGAACGGGCACACGCTCCCGCGCTTGGTGTGTTGTCGTCCATATAAAAACACGGAATTAGACCCGCCGCGGTCCCGACCCGACTCGCGCCCGGTCCGCATCCGCTCTCTGTGTGTTTCACGCTTAAGTCTTCGAACAATATACTTTCTCGATACATTTTTAAACTACCTTGCAATGAAATTTCCCCTAAGGAGAAAGTAATCTGACGACCAATGCGGGTTGAAAACTTCACACGTTTTCCAAGGGCTGTGAACCTTCTTTGCGTGCAGATTTCATCACGATGCCACCCGTCACCGTTAGCGGGAGCTACTAAATATTAACAAATCTACATAATTTATTGTACACAATATCATGATGTGTATCATGACTATGATATTCATATGTTTTTCGTGAAAATACACCACTAATTTGTTATTAATATTATTAATACAAAGTTCGAACAACACAACGAAAAATTCCTACGATCTGGAGGCACACGAACCAGGTTTGTTGCAGCTCTTATCAACTGAGGTCAAAAATTCGCAACAGTGGTGCGTTCAGTGGGACGTTCAAGGATTACGCGGATATTGTATCTTGTATTGGATGTATCCAATTGAACGTTCCGCTGAACGCACCACTGTTGCGAATTTGTGACCTTATTTGGTAAGAGCGGCAACAAACCTGGTTCGAAATGAAAGTCCTAGATACCTACATACAGCCTCAGAAATTGGTACCACCGATCTCCCAATTGAGAAGCAACCGTTGTCTCACTGGGCTACCTCTCTTACGACACAATTTACCTTAAGTCATTTACATAGAGTTCAAAGCTACCCCTATGACTAAGTGTGAATAAAGTGTACATGATCTTCGAGTATAAATGATCGAAGTACATGATCATTATTTTGAGACAAAATTAGGACGTCGAGTGCATTGCCCGATACCTAGATAAACACGAACGCCACTGCAAAAACGGTTTGGCATATTGACAAGAATGCGATGCTAACGTAGAAAACAATCATATTTGAAGTTTCGTTTGCATTGTCTTAGTACTTAGGAGAGTTTGATAAGACCGTATTTTCATGATACATTAATTATTCCATTTCGGGATAAGCAATATTATTAAAATAAAAATCTCTTGAATATTTAAACAAAATGAACGCGCAACATCAATCAATCTTTAATAGTATTGCCTAAGTATTGTACATTACTGTTTATTGTTGATAAAGTTGAAATTAAAATTTGCATCTGTAGTATTTTGCTTTTATAATATCAAGTGACGGGACGAACGTACGCCTGCAGGTAAGCTATACGCCTGTCCATAACAGTTGCAGTGTCACTCAAAGCTTTAAATTATATAACTGCCTCTGTGGCCGAATGGTTACCATGCCTGCCACACAGAGGTCCCAGGTTCGAATCCTGGGCCCCGGAAAAATATTTGCATGGCCTACTTTTATTTCTCTTGAGTGTAATTTGTGGTTGTCTATGTATGTGTCCATGGTACCCGCCGCACAGGGTTTCCCTAGAACGGGGCTATGTTGAGTCTGTAGGTTTTTTTTTAAATACAAAGATTTCAGGGACACTGTTTCTGCGCCCGTCACCCTGATGCATAAGACCCATATGGCTATAATTTCACCAGCACCCTTACCCTTCAAAACCGGAACACAGTAATGCTCACATTACTGCTTGTTAGCAGAAATAGGTAGCAGTATTTCCCTGTAAAAGTATAAATTTTTATAAACTTAATTAACTGTACATCTGACCAGTATCCAAGTATCTTTTGTTATGATTATTAATTAATACAAAGATAGAACATATAGAAAAAGAAAATTCTTATTCCCGATGGACATAAAAACCACGACCACGCTGTACCGTAGCGTTGCTGAACTACATACAGGTCAAGTCATCGAGTTGTCGAAATTTGCCTGTGTTTTTGTTATAGATTTATCGGTTTTCGGCATTCGGCGCCGCTAGCGACATCTAGTGAGAGATTTTAGAACCTTCTCACCGCAGACGGTACCTTTACAGGTGCCTCATGCTAACTGTGATGTCGCATCGTGTCGAAGACAAAAAAATTCTATGTATTAGTATTATTCTACGATCTTTGAATTGTAATAATCATAACAAAACTAGCGGAGTTATTTCACAAAAAACCTCAATAAAGCATCTTTTTCTTTTTTCCAATATGTTTTCCGAAACCTAAAAAAAAATTATAAACATAACATCAGATTAGTTTGTTTTGCGTATCTAGTCAGCGAAGATCAATGTTTGTTTTGACAATTTCGAATAGATTTAAACTACCTACGTATGTTTTCATTTGAATTTTATTTACACTTTGACCAAAACATCATAAACAGTGAAAAATGTCCAACATAGGAGTATGTATCTACTGTACGAACTAAATCGCTTTTATGTTAGTTTTCTACCTAACATCCTAACACATAACAGTATCAACTATTGATTTTAAATTATACTTTTGTGTTCTGATACATTTTTTACGGGCTTCAAACTGGAATGGACAATTGAAAACATATGGGCCGCTGTCTCTGTCTAGTCGTAGAACTATGCTGGATCGTATTTTCCATAAAATTGTGAGTAATTCAATAGATTCTCCAGCACTTCTCAGTAAGGTTAGGTTGACTATTCCTAGACCAAATGCAGGACTAAGAAATTATACACCTTTTAAATTTCGTGTCTCTAGAACTAATCTTGAATACCGCCGTAAAGTTGCCTGGTTATCGGTATTTTACAGGATATATCACAGAGAGTGTGCGATGGAATTACACGGTTTAATTCCGCCTTCCTCTTTCCATCATTAGGGGACTAGATGTAGGCTTGGGTTCCACCCCGATATTGTGGATATTTATATGGCGAAAGGCTATAGAGTGGAATTCCCTGCCTGCAGACGTGTTCCCTGAACGTTATAACTTGGACCTTTTCAAGGCGAGAATGAACAGGCGTTATTTAGATGTGCATGCTCCATCGTCGACCTCATCGTCACTTTCCATCTGATGAGATGGAGGTCAAATGCGCACTTGTGTAAAAAAAAGAATCTTGGAATCTCTGCTCCTAGTAGAATTGTTAAAATTTATAATCAGTTTCATAGGCTATGTGATTTGGATATTTTTAATTATTTCCTGCCCAGCTTCAAAATTAAAATGTAAAGTTTCACGTTTACCAAAAATTCAAATACAATTATATTAAGTAATTATATTCATTTGTAACCTATTGCTATATGAATTTGAAAGTGTAATTACCAAACTTGCTATACCAAAGTTCGCTTTTTATTTACTACTAGCATAGTGCGGTAGCCTGGAAGTGCAATATGTATAATGCTTTTATATTTTGATTGTACCTTATTAGCTATACTCTGTATATGTTTGTGTTGGTTGTCCATTCCAAAAACAAAGATGTGTAACAAACACATGGAATAATTCGTAAGGTCTGTCATGGTTTGTTCCGTAGTTTAATCGGCAAAGCGTCTGCCACGGACTGCCTGAGGGTGCAGGTTTGAATCCAGCTGGATGAAATGAATTTTTTTAGTGTTTCGATCTTTGTTACCTATAACAATTATAACAAACTAATGGGTAATTTCACAAAAAAATAATTGAATATCATGGTAGAAAAAATATAAATAAATAGAGAACAAAAATAAAGAAGAAAGTTATCTGAAAATCTGCTTGGCTGTTGATCGAGCACGCAGGTTTAACACATCTTTCATTTGTTCCATAATATACCTATCTAGCTCGGACAGCAGAGCTAGCAACAGTCGTTGGGGCAGTTATTGACCACTCGCTCGGCAGATAACCGTTTGACAGCTTACAACGCAACGGTGAAGAAATTATGTGAGATCCTGAATTGATGGGTATTTTAAGTAGTGAAACTATAAAACACTAATAAATACCGTATTAACTGCCTCTGTGGCCGAACGGTTACTATGTTGCCCTGTCACGCAGCGGTCCCGGGTTCGATTCCTGGACCGGGAGAATTATATTTGCGGCGTAAAATTATTTTTCTCGTGAGTTTGGGTAAAGTTTGTGGTTGTCTATGTGTGTGTCTGTGGCACCTGCGATACAGGGTTTCCCTGGCGCGGGGTTAAGAGTGGTGCGTTATTCGTTTGTTTTATCTAAGTAAATTTGGGGTCTTCAAACGGTGTGAGTACCGTTTGTGTCAATCTAGTATACAGAATGTAATTTTAAAAATATCTGCAAACTTTTAGAATAACTAAATAATACGATTATATCGTACTCAATTGCTCTTTAAGCTACGAGTACACCCATGTTTAGCAATGGCTAGTGTTGAGTCACGGAAAAAGTTCCATTTTGAAAAAATAATATTTTTCAGGGTAATAAATATTTTTCCGGATTTACCATTTTCCACATTTGACGTTGACACCTGTCAAAAGTTGAAATGACTGAACGAAAATGATGGAGCCATTAAAAAGGTGTTTTTTGCTGTTGTGAAATTATTTTAAATCTCGTTTTTTTTTCTCGTAGTGGCTTTTAGCTATGTAAGTTTATTCTATTATTAACGCTAAATAAAACTTAAAGAGATATTTCTGAACGTAGAACATAATATGAGCCTTCCAAATAGTGTTTCTCCAATTTTTTGGGAATTTTTCTGGAAAAATGTTCATTATTTGAAATTTTTCGGAAAATTACCCAATAACAGCAATGGCTGATTTAGTATAACTAATGATGACTATGATCGTTCCTTGGGTTAAAGTTTTTGTGGTGAGCACTCACTTTGGTGAAATGACAGGCACATGGGAGTTGTAAACTTATGTCTCAGGGTGACGGACGCAGTATCAGTGCCCCTCAGATCTTTGCGATTTGAAGCTCTGAGTGGCACTGCAACTGTTATGGACAGGCGTGTAGCCTACCATCAGGCGCACGACTTGTTCGTCCCATCACTTGACATTATAAAAAAAAGTTTCCGATTTAGATCCATAATCTAGTAAACTTAGAACATCCTGTTGGCGATGCGCTTTTCTGTCAAGATATACGTGACCAAAGTAGACTGACGTGATGTTATAATAATGGTTAATACTCATTTTTTTTTCTAGAATCGTGCGCCAGCATGCCATGCGGCTCTGGTCGACGCTGTGTGGTGCGAGGTGGTCGCGCCAAATGCGTGTGTGCCGCTGCATGCCGCCGCGCTGGTCCGGTCTGTGGCAGTGATGGCAAGACCTACCGCTCGCTATGTCGGTTGCGACGACGAGCCTGTCGGAGGCCTGCTAAGCACCTGAGTTTGGACTACCCAGGACCTTGTCGAGGTAAGTCTTCGTATCCCTTGATGTAATAAAGTCATATCCGCAAAGTGTACATTTTTCAGGAGCAATGTTTTAAGATTGTATGAACGAAATTAGTAGATAACTTTTTTATGCTTAATAATAAACAATTATAACTTTATTCACTTGCACAAAGGCAGTGGTAAATAATACATTAATAGTAAAAAATATTTAGGAACCTTTGTGGGGGGTCTGGTGTTCCGTACATGAATTATATGTATGATGGGTCACCCAGCCTTCACTTTTAAATAAAAAGATGAACACATTGTAAATTAAGAAGCAAAATAATTATATAAGCATAATTTGTTTATTTGTTTCATTTTATATTAATTGCCTCCGTGGCCGAACGGTTACCATGCCGGACTGCCACTCAGAGAGGTACTAGGTTCGATTCCCGGGCCGGGAGAAATATTTGTATGGCCTGCATTTATTTCTCTCGTGAGTTTGTGTGTAATTTGTGGTTGTCTGTGTGTGTATCCATGGCACCCACGGCACAGGGTTTCCCTAGTGCGGGGCTTTGTTGAGTGTCTACGTTATTATTATTATATTTTGTACATATTTTTGTGACTTTTGACGTATGTTCATATATGATTGTAGGTTTATTATAACAATGGTACGAATTTATATCTCGTCGTAACATTGGGCAGTTTTAACTGCCGAGTCACGGCATCATGTCGTCTGCGTTTTGATTTTCATTCAAAATGGTATCTTACGAATTGTCGTATCGTCGGTAGCATGTGGTGTCACGCTTCTGAGAAAACCTTCTAAAGAAAACCTGACAGAATCATAACAGAATAAGAAATCTTTCTTTCTTTGCTCACGTCTCGCGCCTGCTCGGTGTGTTGTCGTCCATATCAATGTACGGATTTAGAACCACCACGATCTCGACCCGACCCGCGCCCGACCTACACTCGCACTCTGTGTGTTTCACGCTTTACGACCCTAGTTGTCATAACTAACGCATTTGCATTATGCTAACTTTCGAGATATTGACACTTAAAGTTTTTTTTTTCTTTAAATAATGTCAATTGCGCTGAATTACGAGCGCGGGCGCGGAACGAGCACACGCGCCCGCGCTCGGTGTGTTGTCGTCCATATAAATACACGGAATTAGACCCGCCGCGGTCCCGACCCGACTCGCACCCGATCTACCCTCGCTCTCTGTCTGTATCACGCTTTACTGCTCTCTTTGTCATAACTAATGCATTTGCATTTTGCTAACTTTCGAGATAATGTCACATAAAGTATTTTTCTATAAATAATGTCAATTGCGCTGAATTACGAGCGCGGGCGCGGAACGGGCACACGCGCCCGCGCTCGGTGTGTTGTCGTCCATATAAATACGGGGAATTAGACCACCTGCACCCGCTCTGTGTGTATTTCACGCTTTAATGCTTCCGTAGCCTTTCATATTCTTACGCAAATCGTAAAAGAATAGCTAAGAATGAATTATGTTTACTAAATAAACTAAATGATAAAAACATGAAAATCGTGCATTTAGCGATAGTTGACGTAAGCCGCGGAACGCAAATTCGCTAAAAACACTGTCGAGAGCATCCGATGACCTTGTTGTACGTAAGCGAGGCTGTGGCAATACATCTTATTTCTTATAGCTTTTAAAATAATGAAAAATAAATTAAATATGAAGATAGTATCCCTAACATAACTGTAAACTCTAAATAATCGATGTTTACCTTCACCGAAAAGGTCATGGTATAATTCAAATTCAATTTCGCACATAAATCCAAGAAAATCAGAAGTGCGAGGCCGGATTCGAACCCACGGCCTCTGCTTGAGAGTCAGCAGGTCAAACCACTAGGCTACCACGGCTTAGAGAAAGAGTTCTCAGGCATATTATTATAATTACTATCGTATAACGAATCAAGCAATATTATCTATTTCAAAATCTACAATTACAAGTTTGTAGGGTTGTGCAACCCTTTATAGAGTTCATAGTCAGTTCAAGGCAAATTAATTAGAGAATCGGTTTATTTTTAACACACCACATAAAAATAGTATTAAAACTAACGAGGCATGCCAAACTGGCGCCAACGTTGATTCTTACACTACCAAGACCATTATAACATGTTGTAAATTATATAAAACACTGTTGTGACATTTTATTCACCTTCTAATAGTAATGTCTTTGCTATGTAATGTAATAAATTTATAGAGGCCCCGCATTCTTGGGACATGCGGACATGTCTAATACCCAGTTTCTACAATTTATTTGTAGATAAGTGTACTTCCAAAAAAAAATGACGACACCTTGAGTTTTGATTGATTCATTATTTTATTATATAATTAATTCATTCATCCAACGATGCCGGGGGAGTCTACCGTGTCAAACCAAAACACAGTAATAGCAAACATCATTTTCAGGAAACGCTGCAACAAGAATGTTTATTATTTTTCAAGTTAATAACATAATATTTTTTTTATAAAAAAAACGACCTCAAAAATTCGTGGAATTACATCTATTTGCCAAGTTTTATTGAAATCGGTCACCGGAACTAGTTTGCCACCCTTAGAAGTGGAATAATTGCTTCAAGTTAAAATGGAATCAATACTGAGGTACCCTCTTTCTAACAAAGAAATAATCATGAAAATCCGTTCACAAATACCAGAGTAATCCCATAACATACATAACAAAATTCGGTCGAATTGAGAACCTCCTCCTTTTTAAGTCGGTTAAAAAGACATATTTATCTTACTTTGTACATTAGATATTAAATAACTCTATCTAGTCATGATAATAAATTGGTTTTGCATTGATAACCAGCCGGCAGATTCTTGTTGTAAGGAAATTATAAAACACTGTACTGGGATTTGCAGTATTGGTGGGCAGGTAAACGCCTCTAACTAACGACGAGGCGGTACGGTCTGCGACTCTTGCCTGTTGGGTTTATATAAACCAAAGTTTTTCAATCAATTAAATACGGTGACCGACATCTAATATATTAAAAAATATAACTAACTAATGCTATTTAAATTATGCCAGCGGAGCATGGTAGTCGCAGACAATGGCGTCATTTACGATAGATAATGCGGTCCGCCTGCGCTCGCGTCTAAATAAGCGCATCAAGGAGTAAGAAAAGTGCCCTGTGGTACGCCGTTGAGATTTTAATATCTGATAAAGTATGAAGTCATGGAAGACTATATACTTTATCAGATATCTATAACAAAATGAAGTGTAGTGAATTTTTAGTCGTCGTTTAAATCCCTTAGGCACACGAGAATTTTTCTTCGTATAACTTAAATACTAGGGATTATACGTATAATATATTCGTATCTATTAATTTCTTTGATTTTAAGTCTATTTTAATTTTATTATTGTTAATTTAAAAAAAATGTTTTATTTAATTTTTTATGACGCAGTGGCAGCACAGAACAGTAACTTAAGTATACAAATAGTAAATCTGGCGCGAATTGCTTGAAGGTGCTAGTTCGAATCTATCCGGATCGAAAGAATTTTTCTTAGTGGTCGATCTTTGTATTAATAATTATAACAAAGTGGTGGAGTAATTTCACAAAAAATAATTTAATATCATGAATATCAACAAAATAATTGATCATCATGATCATCAGTAAAACACCATGATTATCAATTAATTTAAAAATTATAAAAACAGTAAGTTAATGTGCAACAGACGACCTTATTGCTACGTAACGATTTCTTCCTTAGGATAAAAATTTTGTATATACATTTTTTTTAATATACATTACATGATCCACGTCACCTTAGTCCGCGCCCGCAAGTAGCATTAAAGGTATACAGAAATATAATTTTGTTTGGGAACAATCGCACATCGAGTATCCACGCATACATTAATCCCGGTCCCGTATAGACACTCCTCCGCTATCGGAATTTGTTCGTGTTCCTAGACATAAAATTACTTAGAGATATAAATGCAGTAAATTATCTTTTATATTTACATAACAATTTAAGCTGAAGCTCACCCCAATTTGATAAAAATAATTTAGTATCATGGTGGTCAAACATAAGTTTAAAAAATACAAATAGTTCATACTTGAATGGAAAACATTTTTGCAGCAATACATATTTACAAATCACTTAAAAATATAAAATTGATTGCTAGTAGGTAATCCAGATCTAACTTCCTTGAAGTTTGTTAGTGGTTTGAAAAATTTGCAATAAATAAGAAATAAACGTGTTCTACGATGTACTATATGTGGTAGAGTTCAGGCTATTATATTGAACCATACCGAAATAATATATGCCCACAACATCGAAACTATTTCTTGAAAATAGAACATTACATCATTTAAGTAGAGTTAAAAGCTGCAATTTAACCTCTCAAGTCCCAGCAAACTACAATAGGGAAAGCGATACACGCCCAATGTACATTAAAATGAACTTATATTAAAAAGTACATTACTAAATATTATGAAATAGTTCTTTATGAAAAACTTACTTTTCTAGATACCCTATGGTCATATAGAATAGCTCTAAATTTGATTGCGATATTTTTATTATAATTTACACAGAACGTTCACATGATCATAGAAATAATATTGTCTCGGGTCTGAATCACGTATTATGTACATTTTGATGTAACTTTGATGTACACGGTGCCTTAGGAGGTTAAATAAGTGCAGTTTGTATGGTTTCGCCTGCGCCTGAGTATACATCTCTATTGGCATCGGAGCGCATAATGGCTCATTGCTACTCCCGATATGGAAACCTGTCGCTCGGGGCAGCCTGTGAATGAAAACTGCTCTACGCGATAAGAGTAAAATATTATGTAGAGGTATACTAATAAGTTGCAGAGGAAAAACAAAATAATACTTAACGTATTTATTATAAGTATTCGCATGGAGTAATCTATGTAAGTAAGGCCTATTCGCGTATAAAGTTTGAATCGTTTTTTTTTTCATTACCACTTTACTAGATCGAAATAATAACTGATTCACGATGCAACATGAAATTATAATATAATTATGCTAGAATATTCAATGGGTAT